TTAGTATATAAAACAAATATCTTAATTATAAGTTAAGTATGTATGAAACTCAGTTTTGTATCGCGCAGCCTGGACATACATCTACCAATATTTAAGCCTAGGTTTGTTTCAGTTATCGCGGAATATGCTTAAAAGTAGTACTAAGAATATCCATAGCGCAAAATCACCTGCATCTTGAGAACACCCCACATACACACCCTCACTTTTACAGTATTACACAACACAGCCAAATGAGGTAATACTTAGTTTAATTGTATTTAATAATTTTGATTATTGGAATAGTTTTTTCCGTATGTAATATTTGAACCTTTTTGTTTATATTATGTATTCTATTGGCTATATGTTTAGTATAATTGTTTTTAATTAAATCTTTATATATATAATTCTTCTGTGAGTGTGTGTGTCACTGAACTTCTCTCAAACGACTGGACCGATTTTGATGAAATTTTTTGTGTGTGTTCAAGGGGATCTGGGAATGGTTTAGATTCACAAATCAGCCCGGCAGATGGCACTGCAGTCGGTACTTTCATACTTTGCTTAATATCCTAATCGCTTTAAATATCATGCAGGACAACGTCTGTGGGGTCCACTAGTATAATATATAATTGCTGTAGGAGTACGAAATAAATAAATACTGATTGATGGCTGTGCACCAATTGACTTTCTTTTTGAGTGCTCATTTAACATTTGCTCAAACGGATAAGGAAAACTTCGTGAAGAAACCGGCTTGCCCAAAAAGTCGACGGCGTGTGTTAGGCACAGGTGGCTGATCATCTACTTGCCTATTAGATTGACCATAAAAAAGATACAGAAATCTGAGACTTAAAAAGGTTTTAGCGCCACTAATTTTTTTTTAATGATGTATGACGGTGTTAAAAAAACTATAATTATGATCACAAAAGGTAAATTCGTATGTAAAATAGGCGTTACGTGAGATGTTAATTTGCGTGACCAATAAAATAAAATAGCCAACGAAACTGAAGCCGATCCTCATAAAATTATATCTTTCAATACAGGCAACTATACTTCTCTGTGAAACAGTTTCTGAACAATCATAAAGTTTTTCCAAATTCGGAACAGCCAGACCTCCAAAAAATTTACGCTTGTAGATAATAAGACGAATTTTATAGGATCAATTATAAATAAACATGTATAGTAAGGCCCCATTAACCCGCATCTTCGACCTGTAACTTTCCTGTGACCCAATTTCTTCCACGAAATCTATTTTCGTCTCGGGCATTAGAAACCAATTAAGTTTGTGATGTGACATGATTTATTGATCAAATTATGGGAATTATTGTATTGTCATAATGTTGTACCAGTTGCTTCTTCTTGGCTTTTGACGTGAACATGCTTAACCTGTGTAATTTTTATAAATAGGTCACGTATGATGCTGTATAAATACCTATTTATTCATTAATAATAAATATTATTATAATAATAGTACATTCACTCACTCTTAGATCGAACGTCCAAGATTTTTACAATTAAAGTTTTATTACAACGAGTGCAATTTGCATTGGCCACAGTGAAACAAAACACCCTGAGGTAACAGGCATTGTAGGTCCAAAAATGGATGTGTTGGAGACGAGGTAGGAGAAGAATGATCAAGAACTCTATTAAACATGGTTATTATTTAAATTAAATAAAAGTGAATGAACGTGTTTTATTTTAAACGATTGATCATTAAATTAGCAATTCGTTGACATTATTGAATGATTTTAATGACGTTCATTAAAATCTGACTTACGTAATTATGCAATTTCCTCTTCCATCAAAGCCTATTTTTACATAAGGTCGTATTTTACGTGACTCAAAGCATAGGTTTATAACAAGGTTACTGCATTTATGCTTAATTGGACTTTTATGCTATTCTTGCTAGAATCGTTATAATTTTTAATTTGAACGATTAGCATAATATTCCGTGTATGTATTATGTTATTAAATTATATTATGAAAGTCTATCTAGCACTCTATAATTATCTTTTGTCTCTTCCTGTCAAATGAGGATTTCGCTGTTATGAAAAGAAATAAAATTATACTACACTTAAAATTGCCAAAAAGTTTCCTAATTTATCCTTGCAACGATGTCTGAATATCGTTTTCTTTGTGGGAAAAAGATAAATAATTTTTAAAAGGGTAGCTTTCTAAAAAAGCGTAAATCGAACGAGAATGCAACGAGAGTGATAAGGAGAAAACTTTAAATAACCAATTCAGGCTACCTTAAACATAAGGGGTAGAACTTATCGTATATTTTTATAAAGAGTAGGTGAACCTAAACCACTTAGTATACGAGACACAAGCAAATCAAGCAACTGAGTAAAGATTATAAATAGAAGTGAGCGTTAGGTATTTAAATTTTTTATTTTCGTTGCGTGCCGACATTATTTTATATTAAAATGAATTAATCGGGTGTTGTGATCTACGAAGGGCTGTTTTTAGAATAATTATTTTTGTAGGCACGGCATTTTACATTTTTATACATGATTACAGAAAAACAATTGTATTTTTAAAACTGACTTTTTATAATGTCAATATTAAGCTAGTTAGAACTCGTCTATGAAATCTAGTCCACTGACAACTTTGTAAGCAAAAAACTATATTTTTTACTTTAGATTCTATAGTGAACTTAATCAAATCTTTACTTAGTATTAAAAGTATTAATAACGACGCTTATACGACGTAAAGACTGTGTACTTAAAAGCTGTCCTACAAGTTTCTAAATATAGTTAGTCTTTGATGAAACGCGTCTCGAGGCGTTGCTGTGACGGGCAGAAATCCGCCGTAGGCTTGTAATTCTCAATTACAACAAGCTATTCCTATGTAGGTACATACAACTATTTAATGTTACCTTTTGTTATAAATTGTAACCGACATCATTTACGTAGTGAATTTTAAATTATATATAACTAGTTCTAGTCCTATTCTTCGGTTGAAAATGAAATACAACGAAAGAGTTAAACACAGTGAAGCCTATAAAAAGTAACTGACGTCGTCACTCACTTAAAAAAGTTAAAGTGGAGGTGGCCGGTCACATTGCCCGCGTTTGTGATGACAGATGAGTCAAAAAGGCCCTTACTTGGAACGGCACAGTGGGATCAAAATTTGAAGGAGGCCTTCACTCCGACGAAGTTCGTGTACTAATATTAAATATAATAATAACATAAACTTAATATAATACTTATTATACCTTTATATATATAGTACTCGAATATAGGCCATTTTTCTATATATAACTGGCATTATTGCACGGTGGAACTCGTAAATAACGCGATATTTCATGTTTTCCATTTTATAAATATAGTGACGCAAAGAAAAATTATTAAAACGGGTAAATGAAATGAATCATGGTTTTCGAAAAATAAATGCACGAGTAAAGCTGAAAAATTTTAATTTGGAATTCTTAACCAAAGAGGAGACAGAGGTCAAAGTGGCCAGTACGATAACACGCCAATTTCAAATGTAAGGACCTAATATTATTGAAGAATATAAATAACAATAATTATAAACAATAACACTGAGGGATACGACAGTTAGAGCGAACAAGTTAAAATTAAAATTAAAAATCAATTATTTATTTACGTAACACAATGTACACTTATGATTTTAATGTTAAAAGCTTCTAATTTTACATTTACTGCAGAACTATGATGTAATACGTTTTTGACACACGGTGTCACATTTGTATATTTGTAACCGACGCTATCGTTACTAAGCGATCCCTTCCAGACCAGTTTTGAGAGTTAGAAAACAATGTTTGTCTGGAAAATTGGGACTTTAATTAAATTGATTTTTACAATCAGCTTTGTATAAGCCGTTTTCATTGAGTTATTAATACACTTATAAAGCATTATTAAGGTTACACATTTTTAATACGGTATTGTCACGCTAATACACGCAAATTATGTCGTGGTAACATGATACATAAATCCACAATATATGGATACATAACTGTGCTAATTACTTTGTAATTTATTTAACACTATGTTGCGAAATTATAGAATACGTAAATAATGAGGATGGCCGTATTAGTAATTGATCTCTTAAAAGCAACGAAAAATAAATTGGTAAAGTGGGAGAGGTGGGAATAGTTTGATTAGAACAGAAGGGAAACGGGCAAGAGGCTCACCTGATAGGTTATACGGCCGCGGGTGGACACACCAAGACTGTCAGGTGCGTTACCGGCCGTTTAGTATAGTTAACTATTAGTAGATTAAAATCTAAGCTCTTCTCTTTTCGGTTGTTGTGTTTATATATGTACGTCAATTTTGTTGGAACGTAAACGTGGTTGATAAAACAATTATGTTAGTAATAAAAAATCTAACTGTCTTTTTCCATATTTTCAAGTCAAATCTTATTTATTGTTTAGCTTACAAGTAAAAGTGTCTTAAAAAACGAATATGCCTACAATTTGTTTGCTTTATTTGTACGAGAGTGATAGAGAGAAAAAATCACTTGCTATTTGAGGCTTGTTTATACTAAAATATGTAACACAGTTGATGATCACTGAGAGATTGCTCAACAGGGTCTAAAGCAAAAGAGTGGCCTAGAGTTTGTTGCCCTTTTGTCTTGTTCGTTCACATTCATAGTAAATATAAGTTAATAAATATGAAGCTTTCCTCGCTCAACAAATAAGTATCGCAATACAGAGAGGAAATGCTGCCAGCATTAAAGGTAAACTACCACAAGGACCAAACGTTTTAAATTTGTTTTAATTTTCTATTTACCCATTTTTAATTATTATTGTTACTATGTAGGTCAAGAATATTGTAAATACTGTATATTTGTGCGCTGGAAATAAATGCTATTCTTAAAAAAAATATTTGAAGTGCAAGTGTACGTTGTGAAGATACTGAATATTTAAGTCCTTACGACTTATTTGGTCAAACAGCATCTGTGTCTCTCACTTCGTTCCTTCAGTCCTTATGACTAAGAACAGCGAAGGAGCCGAGCCATTAAAATCATTTGTATAACTTCAGCGTTATTTTTCAATCAAACTAATGGTTTCAGACGCGGAAGGCACTGGCGGGGCTGATCTGCAACGCAAACTGGACTTGCTCAATGGTGCTCTTGATGCGGAGCGCGCTGAGCAAGCTCGAAGGCAACTTCAGTACGTTGCACATTGTAAGTATCGACAATATCTAACCCCTACGGTAACTTATAACTTCTAACCCCTACGGTATCTATCGGTAAAAGCTATTTAAGTTACTGCAATATACGAACAATAAATGTTTGCACAGAAATCTTCTGGAACGCTCTATACGTCTATTAAATAGTATTTGAGCCAAAAAATTTTAAGTGTTAGTATATAAGTACTGTATAATACTATTGTATCTTTTAAACAGTAAACGAATTTAGATCAATAATAAAGGAATAATAACAGAAACTAACTAGAACTAGAACTTTAACTAATATAGTCCATCGTAATTAATTTGAAAAAGAAGCAGGACTGGACGATTTAGTATTTTTTTCGGCCCGCCCATTGCCATGATTATAGAAAGGGCATTCTGTCAGCACTCGACTCTTAGGTTCTAATGTTATTATTTGTAATTTTTGGGTATCTATTTGTTATTTTTGATTAATGTACACGTACTTATTACATTATAAGCATTATCTTTGTGTCGACAGCGTTTTTTTGGTTCTAGTTTGTGTAACTTGATGATCTTATGTGTGGTATTTTTGGTGCGTCTATAAATAAATAAAAACATCAATTGTCTCGATAGTAACAGTATTAAATATTAATTTTATTACAGTGGCAAGAGGCTGGTAAAGTCGAATAATTTAATTCCTATTAATGGTGATTACTTCACTGAATGAAACAAACAAAAGTTGTATATATTTGATATAAATTAAATGTGTATATGTACCAAAATTGGATATCAATCATTATGACATATCTTTATCTTTACTTTATATAAATTGAATTATTAGATACTCTATTTCTCTTGAAGTTACATAAGGTCTTAAAGATACAAGCTTTCACCATTATCACTTTAAGTTTGACCTTTTATTTCTCGTTCAATAAAGTTTGTAGTTTATTTAGTCTTCTTTTCAGTGGTTAAACTTGAACTCATTAGAGTATTATCTTCGAATTTATTGAAGTGTTCGTAGTTTTTATTTTAATGGTTGTTTTGATATATGACATCGAACATAACTGAAAAATACCCTGTAAATTGAATAAAATATTATTTCAAAATTTGCTTATTTACATTTAATAAAATGCTTTAATGGTCTTTCTGGCAATAACATTAACAGGGGGATAGATATTTTTGTGCTACAAAATTTGTACTTATTCGACAGAACTAAAAAATATTAATATTATAAAAGAACATATTATTTAACATCAAATAACCTTTCTTGGACGTAATCGATTAACTAAACTATAGTTAATTATGTATGCCAATTTTGGAATGTAATAATAGCTAGTTCCTTTGTGCTTCCAGCGGGTTACTCGGAGGATTCTGACTACACGTCGGACCTCAACTTTCCAGTCGGGCAGCATCCCAACTGCAGCGCGTCACAGTTCAGAAACGCTGCCCATCAGATGCATACGCCACAGGTTAATTATAATTTAAATTCTTAATTCAAAATAAATCAGTGGTACTACAACTTTTTTAGGTCTGGGTCTTAGATTTCTGTATCTGTTTCATCATCATTTGTCAATCTAATAGGCAAGTAGGTGATCAGCCTGACACACGCCGTCGACTTTCTGGCTTTAAGGCTAGCCGGTTTCCTCACGATGTTTTCCTTCCAACACTGCTGTGCAAAATTCTAAGATAAATAAAAAAATCGCAAAGCCAGGACATGAAACATGATGCATTAAAGCGGAATGGGTTTCAAACATTTAGTGTGAGATACTTACTAAAATATATATATATATATATAGTACCTTAATCTAAAGTAATACAAAAAAGAATATATTAATAACGGACTAAAAACTTAAAAGCTAATCATACAAATACATGAACAGCGAATAGTGATGTAAAAGGAATCATAAGAATTATACAAGTCACGATTGATCAGGATAGGATAAGGTTAAGAAATGATTATACAGAAGAGTTTTAAAAGATGACAGAGAGGTAGCCAATCGTACGGAGTCAGGCAGCGTATTCCACAACTTAATGGCGGAGATCGTAAATGAATTGCCTAAGAAGGATGAAGTGTGGGATGGAATTTCCAATAAACATCTATTAGAAGAGCGTAACATATAGTTAGAAGGACCTAAGAATTTGAAGTGATTTTTGAGAAAGAAGGGGCTTTCGGATTGAAAAGAATTGAGTATAGAAGTTGAAGAAGATGAGCGTGACGTCTGAATCGAATAGCTAGCCACCCCAGCTGCCTGCGGAATTTAGACACATGGTCATATTTTCTGAGACCAAATATGAAACGTATGCAGAAATTCTGTTATTCTTTTAAAAACTGTATAACCATTTTCACTGTTGCCGATGGTAATCGTTAGTGGACTTGGGATAAAATTAAGTTTATAGAAAGTTTTTTTTACAAACTAGGTTTGTTATAATAATACGTGATCATTCTTATTTAAAAAAAACTATTAAAATGCAAATACTTTTAGAACAAAATATTTGTAACAATTAAAATATTATTTATGTAATTTCAGAGATCTTTGGAAGCATCCAGAGAAAATTCATACGAGCGTGAAGAATATCATTTGCATGGCGATACGGACCCATTGTATTATAATAGTCAGCCTAGAACAAATAGGTAATATGTTTTAAATATTTATAATTATTAGAATGTATGAGTTGGTTATCATGTAGGAAAATAAATAGATACATATTATACTGTATGAGGAAGTTCTCAATTCCGTCGAGTTCCGATCACCAATAGTGCCATGTTTGACTAGAACCACGATGACGAATTGCTTGCCACAATGTTTACTTAATACGGCCGACGGCCGATATTTATATTTAGTTTTAATTTGTGGTGAGGTGTCTAAGTGTTGGCAATATTTGTGAAATTAACAAATTGCACTTTAGTAAAGTAGGAGTTTTCTAACCTAGTATACATATTATATAGAGAAAAGTCAGTATTTTTGTAGATTTGTAATGAATAAACTCAAAAATTACTGGACTTATTTTTTAATTATTTGATTGCTAGAATGCCTGACATTATCCCTGAGTAATATAGCCAAAACCTCTAATCTAATATTACATATTTTATAATAAATAATTATAAAATATAATTCTCGTGTCACAATGTTCGTTCCCATACTCCTCCGAAACAGCTCGACCGATTCTTATGATTTTTTTTATGCATATTCAGTAAGTCTGAGAATCGGTTACTATCTATCTTTCAAATCCCTAAGTTATAAGGGGTCCACCCCAAAATTTTGTTTAAATCTTTTAGACAATTTTTTTGTTTTTATTTTTTTATGAAACAAACAAAAATACATACAACCCTAAATTGTCATCTAACCTCTACTATCAACTCCTATTTTTACTATTGTAGATAGTTATTTTTATTGAACTGAAAAAATGTTTTCTAGAAATAATATACATGGCAAAACAAACGTTTGCCGGGTCAGCTAGTATAAGGCCGTTTCTCCACTGCTCCGGTCCGGCAAACGTTAATTACCGATCCGATTTAGAAACTCACAACAGTACATACGTACTTCTCCACTACTCCGGCATCCGGTTTTTAACGATCTGATAACTTGCTAGAGCGGAACGCGGTGTTTTATCGGTCCAAGTATCCAAGAGGTTATAAATTATTATTCACAGGTTTCTTTATAGTTTCTTTAATTTGAAAGAATTAGAAAAAGAAGTAGATTATAATATTTTAAGATAGACAATTTAAAAAAGTAATAAACTTGTCAGGGCAATAAAATATTCAGAATTTAGAACGTTTTATTAATAAAATAAAGTATATGGGATTTAGTTACATTAGCATGATAAATATACAAGTATCGATTATTGTCGGATCGGATATAGTGGAGAATCGCAATCCGCCCTTCCGATTTTTTTCTAATGACTCATTCCGGTATCCGACGTCGGACCGGAGCAGTGGAGAAAGGGCCTAATTATGGTTTTTCGAGTTCGTTTCTTTCTGCTTCACTTTAATGTCTTTCAATTTGGCATCTTTTGTGTAAAGCTTTCAATACATTTATTTCAACATACGCATTAATATATTTAATAATGTTAAAACACTTACACTTCCAGGATAGACACGTGGTCACAGCTACACGCACAGGCGAGCGTCGAATCCGCGATATCGTGGCGGACGGCTGCTGACTGGCAATCAGCAGGTACGTTTCACATATATTATCTCTATATATATAAAATTCTCGTGTCACAATGTTCGTTCCCATACTGCTCCGAAACGGCTCGACCGATTCTTATGAATTTTTTATGCGTATTCAGTGGCGTAGCTAGGTGACCAAGGGCCCTGGGGCAAATTAAAAAATGGGGGCCCACTGCTATGTAAACTTATTATTAGGTTTAATCAAATAAAAATATGAAATATACAAATACTTTAAAAATGCTAAGCTACTTAAGCTCTTTTTTGTGTGCAGGGCAGGTAATAAAAATATTAAACAGTAACAACATAAATTACAGTTACATAGGCTGCACTAAAAGTATCGGGAATGGAATAATACCACTGTTCCTGTCATATTTAAATCTTTTTAATTGAAAACTCCTTTTTTTTAAATCGAATACCATTTATTTTTTTTAAAAAGATTCTCGGTCTTTTCACAAAGTTTTGTCAAACTTGTTTAGTCGTTGAGAAAATGGAATTGACTCGAGAAAATTCAAGAGCGATAATTTGTGAATTTATGACGTTTGAAGTGGTTTATCACAAAAACAGTGTGTTGACCGGATGATTTCTGCATTTGGTGATGAAGCCCCATCCAAAACCACAAATTATCGCTGGTTTGCTGAATTTCAACGTACACGTGTCAAGCTCAGTGATGATCCCCGTCAAGGTCGTCAAAAACTGCAGTCACCCAAGAAAACGTTGATGCTGTGCGTAAGCTGATTGAGAAAGATCGACATGTGACATACCGCGAATTCAGGAAACTTTAGACATTGGCATGAGTCAAATACAAATAATCTTGCATGAACAATTAGGTGTAAAAAAGTTGTTTTCCCGATGGATACCGCATTCGCTCTGTGAAGAGCAAAAAGGGGCTCGCGTTACTTGGTGCGTCAGAACTCTCGAAAGATTCCACGCAGGATCTTCAAATGCTGTATACAACATCGTATAAGGTGACGAATCCTAAATATACGCGTACGAACCCGAAACAAAAATCAGTCACGAGTTTGGGTGTTCTAAAATGAGTTAAAGCCAACGAAACAATTTTCGTTGGCTTTAACGTTCACGGAGTGTTCAAAAAAAAAATGGTGGCCACGTTTGTCTCCAAAACCGGCCATGTTGCGACATTCCTCTCGAGGGACAAAGAACGGTTAATGCAGAATGGTAATATGCTAGCATTTGTTTGCCACAGGTCGTTTCTGAACTCCGTAAAGAGAACTGCAACCGCCGCATCATCCTCCATCACGAGTTCTCACACCGCGCACAGAACAAAAGAGTTTTTAGAGCAAGAAAACATAGAATTATTAGACCATCCGCCGTACAGCCCCGACCTAAGCCCTAATGATTTCTATACTTTCCCTAAAATAAAGAATAAATTGCGTGGTCAGAGATTTTCATCACCTGAAGAAGCTGTGGACGCCTACAAAACGGTCATTTTGGAGACCCCAACTTCCGAATGGAATGGTTGCTTCAATGATTGGTTCCATCGTATGAAAAATGTGTCAAATTTTGCGGAGAATACTTCGAAAAGCAATAAATACATTTTTAAATAGTAATGTTGTGTCACTTCCTTGATTCCCGAAATTTTCAGTGCCGCCCTCGTAATACTTGATGTAGGTTTGGCGAATAAAATGAAATACAGAAGATTCAAGGGTTTATTAAATATAAAGGTCGGGCCTACCAACTGACTAAATAACAATTATATTTTAAATTTTTTCCTAGTTTAAGTTTTCGCAAAAGTATCAATGACTTCGTTTAAATCCAGGCTTGATGCCGTTTTGTTTTCAATTGCTATTTAATTCGCGTTATACAATGAGCTGTAGCCGAAATCTTTAGATTTGACACGATTTATTGATTTTAACGGACATCAATATGAGTGGTAAAATCAAATTAAATTGAACCACTATATTGACCAGTACAAAAAAGTTTATTGACATTAGCTTACTTACTCCTGATACAGCATGATTTTTTTAACCGTTCTCAAAAAAAAAATCTTAACTCGAATTCACAATAAAACGCACATCGATGAATAATAAAATGCACATATATCACTATCCGTCAAATTGACAACACTGCCAACCTACAAAAAGAATTTAGGGGAATTCCCTAGGCATAACTTTTGAATTTCTCTCAAATTAATGTCTTGATTAAAGTGGGGTTGCAACCTGTCATATTTATTTTGAAAATGGGAGAAATTTCCAAAAGTTCAGAATGAACGAGATTTCTGGTGAGGATTCGAGGGCCCCCTGAGCTTGAGGGCCCCGGGGCACTGCCCCGCCTTGCCCCTTGGTAGCTACGCCACTGTGCGTATTCAGTAAGTCTGAGAATCGGCTACTATCTATCTTTCAAACCCCTAACTGATGTCCCCAAAAAATATTTTTATTTTTTAGACATTTTGTTTATGATACATCATTCAATAATACATACAACCTCTAATTTTCACCCCTCTACAAGCAACCCTTATTTGTTAATTACTTATGACTTAACTCTGAGGTCAAATAGAGAAAAATTCACAGAAAAACCTACAAAGTTTTCATTCCGGAAAACCGAACAGTCTCTGCGGTAGCATAGCAAAATTTTCCATGTTGGTATATATACTAAAAAGGTTGCCTATGTAAAATCACATTAAGGAGAAACGAAGTTCGCGGGGGCAGCTAGTAATTCAATAATATTATCTAAGATCATCCTTACTGTCTATCTGTGTTTAGAATATTCAACGGCCGTATCTTATCACTGCTCGTTACTCTATTTGCTACTCGGGAATCAAACTCGTTTTAGACCTGGTTTAATTCCCCAGTACTATGCTCGTTAATCACTAGACAGGAAAGCATTTAAAAACCATACTACTTGGTTTGTAATTGTCGAAATTAAGCCTCTATTTTATAATTCGTGTTATGTTTCAGAGGACCAAAGGAGGCCGAGCTTGGAGAGGCAAAATACACTGTATGACGATGGAATAGGTTTTGGATATGACGCTTTTCCACCGCCTACACTTATTAGGTATGTTGCCTAGGTCACATTATGGCATATGAATAGAAATAATATAAAATATATATTTCTAAATTTAATAACGCTTGCACAGTTTGGACCTATTTGTCTTTGGATAACTTACTAATACATTCTGTAATACCACGACCTTTTATCATGTACGAGTATTAACTATAGAATATAATCGCGTATTTATAAAATACTAATGGTATTTTTTACGTTACCATGTGAAAAATTAGTTATTTTACTAGTAACTTTTCCTAAAATTTGGAAAACTCTATTAATAAAAAAAGTGTTATTTGAAGAAATATTTTATATATAGTATATATTTTTAGAAATTGATTTTTTCCCTGAATTCGAATGAATTCCATTAAAAAAAACATGGACTTAAGATTCCTTAGTAACAGAAAATAACAAAAACGTTTTTAATGTTGGATCATAAATTAGTAAATCAAACTCTTAAAACTGTTAATTATTAGAATTTATTAAATTAAAGTAAAATATCCTGATTTCGTATACATATGGAACAAAACGATTCAAATTGATAGCTATATTTTTTGATATGATTATTGTTTCACTATACAGGGACCATCCACATCTCTCACACCAGCCAAGTTATGAAGAGTATTTTGACGCACCATGCTATCCATACCCATTTGAACCACCAATGGGAATGTGGGATCAGCGATTCTTTTACGACGAGTGCGGCCTTAATCCTATCGAGTATGAAAATTTCATCAATAAACGTCGCTCGTCCGTTGTACAGTTACCGCAGATGCCTCCCAAACAGGTTTGAACTTTTTGACATTAAATTTGAAAACCAAAGGTATTACGAGCCATGGCTGTAAGAATATTTTGATCCCGCATAAATAGCTTGGTATTTAAACGATTTTATTTAACTTGTTCTGTTAAGTGTTATTGTCAAAATCACAGAGTTACCTTCTCGGACAATAACCTGTGTCCCGTGGTAAAAATACAAATTATTATTTATTATTAAAATGTTAAGTCGAGATCGGAGATTACGTTAAGGTCGTTGAAACGGGATGAGAAATGCACGCCGCCTTTGAGTAGCGCAGATGACTGCAGGATTTAAATTGGATCTCGCCTGAAGGGCCTTGAAAGCTCAGCTGTTTTGGTATCCATCTTAATTTACGCGTGGCACGTACAATTTCCGAGCCTAGTGCAGAAATCATGAAATATTCTATGTTAGTCCACAGCGAGTCTCGTAGTCACTTTTGGATACAGTCATCGGCACTTCTTTTAGCATCCATTTTAATTACCATTGATTATTTTGCGAGACCTGCATTATAAACAGTGAATATTCATTTATTTATAATTTAAACATCCCGTAGACCCAGGAATCACACCTATTGAACTATCAACTCAATATTGACGACTCATGGGTGGTTGTACCCCTGACTGCGACTGGGTCCCGGGTTCGATCCCCGGTGAGACTAACATCGATGTGATGAGCATTTGGTGTTGTGCTTAGGTCTTGGGTGTTTAAATATGTATTTTATGTGTGGTCTATAGTTATAGTGTATATCCGTTGTTAGTACCCATAACACAAGCTTCACCAGCTTAGCATGGGACTAGGTCAATTGGTGTGAATTGTCAAAAAAAAAAAAAAAAAAATTTATAAACTCTTATTTAATTGAGTAAACCCTCGTAGGTATTTAAAGGTGTTATCGATTGATTTGTCCTTATTAGTCTTGTATCATTTGGAAACTCAATAAATGTTACAAATCATTATTTTACATAGTCTAGGACCTGTTTATAGCCAAGTTTTTAATTGTACCTCACCTTGAAGTACTATATTCAATCCATACAAAATGGTAAGTAACAAACATGTGTTAATCCTCTAAAAAATATTTTAAATGCAACATATAATGAAGATGAGCAAAGGAATCTATAATTTTTTTGCAGTTGCCACCATCATCTCGATATTCAGACTACAATGAAATGGCGCCGTACAGACCACGGCCGCGAAGGACTGCTGCAAGTTTACCAGGTAAATACTACTAATACTAGGTAAATACTACTAATACTAGGTAAATACTGTGAACAAAAAATATTTCTATACAAATTGACAAACTAGAGCTTTGTGGTATGTGCAACAAGATTAATAAAACTTTCTGGAATATATTGAAAAATATGTACGAGTAGATAGCTATATTATAAGATTAAACAATTTAAAAACTTGCTTGTTGAAAGTAATCTTAAGCTAACATTTAAGTCTTTATTGTAAATGTATATAAAGTAGATTAGTTTCATTATTTTAATATTTTTAATTAAGCTAAAATTACATTAAATAATTGCCAGTAAAATTGAAGTATATTGTATTGTATTAATAGCAACGCCATCATCGACACCAAAGCGTGGTCGGGCGCTACCTGTTCCGCCAGGCAGCGAATCAGGTTGGGGGCGGCGAGGGCGGCGCCTGCCCAGGCCGCCCGCGCAGCGCCAGAAGCCTGTGCCACCCACCTATACTAATGTGCCTTACAAGCAAGGTAAAAATGTATAATAATTACTAAAGTCAGAGTGCGTGCGCAGGTAGCTAAGTATCGATAACGGGTTGCATTGCGTGCACATTCCTACTGTCAGTGACATTTATTGCACGTCGACTCAGTTTAATATGCGTCGACTATATATGATAATTTATAAAACTGTACTCCTGGCACCAGCATCGTTAGCATTTTTATCAATAGTCAGTGATTTAAGAGAGATGGATAAAAAAGTATAATAATCCATAGCAGTCAGTAAAATGATTAATTTATACAACTCCTCGATTAATCGTCGTACAAACTTAGTACTACTGTAATTTAAACTTAAAAAGAACTATCAAAAGGCTATTAAAAGAAGCCTAGTTATTTAGCGTCATTAAAATAATGATAACGGCAACTTATCGCAATCAGGTGTTCTTGTCCCTAAATTATAACGAGAGATCGGAAAAATGCGGAACTTATTGTCAACAAAAATAATTATTTGACATTGTTTCAGAAACTGAGAGAATACCAAAGGTACCTGATGTTAGTTACGGCTATGAGACTTTTGGGTACCAAAAATATCAAGACACTGCCATTGAACAATATCAAGATAATACTTATATAACAAGGTAATTTTTTTATTCCATTAATGACATTAAAAATAACGGTAGCACCTAGCCGGTCTGGGACTCAGATTTGTATATATGTTTCCTTATGCCGTCGTCTTCAAAAAATAAGATATAATAAAGCTATTTATATATTTTTACTTTTGTAGTGATGAAGATGGAATGCAACCATTCTTTAATGAAACTCCCCACGCAACACCTTCGGCTACAACAGGTATTTATTATTCCTAAACATAACAACGAAAACTTCACTGACGGCTATTACGAGTATAAACCTATTATTGGCGTCTTGGTAGATTAATATAATATTTATATTATATTTAAACGGATATTATTTATAAGGATAACAATATTTTTTTAATAAATAAAAAGAAAATTTTCTATGTGTTAACTATACACAGTAAGCATCACACGTGTAGGTTTAGTAATAATATTATATTTATAGAAAATTTAATTATCTGTGGCAATGAACGCGAACTCATTGAAAGATAAAAGCTTCCGTTTCATGACCTTGACAAATCTGAATTCAGCTGTGCTTATTAGTAATTTATTGGACGTATGCTCAGTATGACGGCTTATTTGGCCACTTTATATAATTCGTTAGCGTTTTCTATAACAAGGTGTTTTTTAAATATTCCAGCACAAAAATCTACTTGGGGTGAGAATGAAACGAGTTCACAGTTTTCTTATACGGTGACAGGAGAAGACAGTAAATACATATCTACTACAGCGCCTTCGAAGTCGTATTCACAAATAGAACCACCTGTTACTACAAAACAAGAGGTGTATGATACGAGCTTGTCATACGAATCACACTACAATGAACAGCAATATCAAAAATTTGATGGGCAAAATCAATTTCACCAAAATCAAAGTCAGTATCCCGATACTCAGAACCAGTACAAACAGCATGAAAACAGGTACGAAGAACAAAAAACTGATTTAGCCTATCATGGCCAATATAACGAATATAAAGAAGAGCACAAAACAAGTTTGCAGTATGGACATCAAAGCTATCAACAAGAGCAAGATAATTATCAGAAACAGGATCAATATCACGATCAACAGTATAATCAACAACAGCAATCTGATCAATATCATCAAGATCTTCAACAACAATATAAAAAAGACCAGCAGTTTGAACAGCAGCAACAATATGACCGGCAACAGCAACAACAGATTGAAGCTCAACATCAGTTTGAAAAACAACAACTACAAAACGAGGAGCAGCTACGCCAACAACAGGAACAGATTCAACAACAACAACAGCAAATACAGCAGCAACAACAGCAAAAGCAACCAGCACAGCAGATACAAGCATCAGTCATGACTGGAGCTGCAACGTTAGGTTCGTTTATGGCTGGTGGAGCTAAAAAGTTAGGTAGCTTCTTCGGTGCAGCCGCTGCAGCTGTAGCTACTCCAGCTGTTACTCAACAACCACCTACCGCTACCACAGTAACTACAGCGCAAATGAACCAGTTTACATCTGGTGTAGCTCCTACAATGGTTGTTACAACAGCATCAGTTCCAGATACAACAATAGTTCCACAAGCAACAGAAACATCTATAACAAGTGCATCGACTACAGCACCAACGCTACCTCGAACTCCATCTTTGCGAAGGCAAGAGTCTATACAAAGACCATCAGTAGGAAGAACTCGAACGTTACCTGATGCTCCGGATGATTTCACGTCAAGTTTTGATGAAAGTGCCTACGATGAAGAGTACCAAAAGACTGAATTAGATCAAGTAGACCGTGATAGGACCTCTTTGGATAGGTATCGTGATGAAGATTTTGCTCACGATACGATTCTTGAAGATGCCCCTGAAGAACGGAAAGTTGAAGAAACGGCTCCTAGTATAAAAAAGACAACATCACCCCCTAGGACCGCTTCTATTACTAGAAAGCCATCTGTAGATAGCTATCACAGTCAAACGCCATCGGTACTTGATCGAAAAACTTCACAAAGCTCTTTCATATCGCATCAAGAAGATAAACTCTCCATTCACACATCACAAGAAGGTTAGAGAACTATAATTTCTTTACTATAGCTATATCATTCGGATCATGGCTACGTCAACACAGCAGTAAAAATATACAACCTAAACATATAGTTATATTTTCTGTTAGTTACGTATTCATAGGTCGACATATTAGTGTGAAAATCTAAATATCGAATATTAAACAAATATATTTTAAAATTAAACTTAATTTAAATGCAAATTTATAAAGTTTCAAGTACTTTTCAACAATCGTGATCGACGATATTTGATTTTTGATTTTTCATGTATTATTGGGACATACATACTTAGAGTTAGACATTCAAAAATTAATCTACCTCGTTGTAATGGCTACACATCTTTCTTTAAATTACAGAAACCACATCAGACAAATCTAAAGTGACATTCCAAGATGAAAGAACAACATATCACGAGGTACCAGATGAAAATACTTTCCACGAAAGGCAGGAGTCGTTCGATCAAGGCGGCGAATTCCAAGATGATGAACAGTTTCAAGACGATGAATACAGAGATGAGAAATTTGAGGAGCAAGAACAATTTCAGGAACAAGAGCAGTATCGAGAAGAGTTCCCTGAAGAGGAGAGGAAGGAAGAGTTGGAATTTGAGCCCGAACAGCCCAAGTTAACGCCGAAGCAGAGGTGGCACCGTGCATACAACAAGATCGTGATGCAGCTAAATGTAAGTACTTTTATTTATCTATCTATAGAAACAGATTATTATTGTTTAAGATCGTTATTAAATATATTTTTTTAATTAAGTTGTACGATTTTATGAACAAATCTGTTTCTAAAGATTTTGTTTAAGGTTTTTATTTATTGAAATGGAGAATTAATATATGTGAGGACGTCGGTGGTGACCTAATGGAAGCAAGGTAAGATATTAGAACTTATTTTATTCTAAACATGACACGGACCGCTATTATATATATATAACACACATAAAAATTGCCTATGTATGAATTTGTGTCTTTTTAGTTGGATGATTTTTTCTCACGAATTTAAATAACTACTCTTATTATAAATACTATAAATCGATTGCACGAAACAGGTCGTTTGTGTACCCCGCTGTGAAATAACGATTCTAGGCCGTGTTGCGGTTGTGTTAAATGGAAAAGCTGTTTCTCTATCAGCCTCCTAGGGATGTAGCCTTGTCTTAAAATGGTTCGTATGCATTAAAGATAAATGTGTGTATTTTTGTATATTCTATTACTATCTACATTATCTATCCTACCCATTATGATAAAGATTTTAAATAAAACTACGTAATTTCTTATTACTGACGCGTAAACACATCAGTACTATGTTCGTGCTAGAAACTATAACAAATAAAACGTAGCGATGTTTACTATAATAAACTTTCTCTGGAATATTTTATATTATCAATTCAATCTAGCCTTAAAAACAATATCGGTATATTTTGAGAACGATTAAGCAAGGTTATTTTATTATCGCAAAATAATTAAGCAATCAACTTCCGATCTAATAAAACACATTTAAAGGCAATAACTATTACCAGTGGTGATAAAAGGGTAATAAAGAGCAATCAATCTAACGTTAGAAGTCACTTTCCTTACATTTCAGTCTTATTCAATTTGTCCCGATGTAAATTGAATTGACCTCTACTAATGCAAGAGCATTATTGTTTTATAACTTAGGGCCTAAGATTTCTTCGTGCAAGTTGTGGTAATGTACTTTACCCCTCGCTCCAAGTATCCCGCGGGGTAAGTGGTGCCACCCGCCGGCTCCCATGACGCCTTTGAACTCAATCACCTCATTAGTTCAACTCAAGTTACTTTATCCATAAACGAATCTACGTCCTCGCTCAGTTAGAAACCGAACTTTGTGTCGTTCGCACACTTAAGCGTTTTAAAAAAATATAGCTACATTATTGGGCGCGTAATGGCGGCGGAAGCGTGCGAGGACGCGTTTGCGGTATCGTTATCCTGCGGGTGGCCGTGGCCTGAATGTATGGGTACTATCAGCAATTTGTATGCAAATTAATTTCACTTCAGGTGTAAATGTTTACTCCTTGCTTAACCGTCGTGGTATACGGACACTTAAAAAATGGGTCGAACTCGTAAGGCTCAAGCGGCTAGCGAGGCTGACGTCCGAAATGATCGGTCGTTTAATCGCTGTAGTGGGTCGCGGTTACGTGTGCGGCGTGGGTCAAGTCTGACTGATTTGGATAAGCTTCGGTGTAGTACTGGGTCTAGCGGGGGCGGGTCGATTGGCGATTTGATGAACATGTTTAGTGGTAGTGCTACGTCTATAGGCAGTGATAGTTTGGTAGCAAGGACCGTTCCTCTGGAGACTGTTAGAAGGAATATACCGCCTATTTCAACGCCGCCCCCGCGTCCGCCACCCTCCCCGCTCATACACACGTCCCGACCTGTGGGCCCGCTAACCATGGCTCAAAGGACTCTGCGGTTCAGTAGGCTGTTAAAGTACCAGCCCTGTTCGACTGATGTGACCATTGTTTTGGTAAGAAAATTTTTTGCAATGTTTTTAACTTTCATGTATTTTTCACCGATTTCAGTATTGTAATAAAAGCTCATATCCAACAAATCTTCCATATGAATTCTTCAAAAAAAAATGCTTAAATTACTAGCATAAGTTGATATCAACATGCAATCTTATCAATGGGTATAAACTCACGATAAATCGGTAATTATCTAAAACTGTTTTATTGGATAGCGACTATTTTATTGATCAATATGAGTCTCTTTCAATCAAATGTATTTAGCTTATAATAACAAATATTAACAATTTCAAATAGTATCTCAAATGTAAAAAAAATTGTAACAGAAAATTCGGTTTGACTTATAGTAAAAGCGAATATGAAAAAATGTTGTTATGTAAAATTTAAGAGAAATTCAGCGATCAATCAATTGAAAGTAAATTATTATAATATTCAAATTATTTTCCTCGCTCACGTATTAATCATTCAAGTATAAATTTATACATCAAAAGGAAAGCACAAATTGAACATTCTTAACAGTACGTATTTTTATTTAGCGAGCCAATATGTAATATAATATTGTCCTCCTTTGCGAAATATTTAATCTCTGAGTCTGGTACAATTTCGCACCGAAATAAATAATTGTATAAAACAATACATGATTAACAACAAATAACTGTTTTACAGTAGGTATTAGTTCTTTAATTTTAAACGTACTAATGTCACAAATGTTATTATAGTAATAGTATTATTGCAGCGTGATATTTCATATTTTACAGACAACATTGAATCTTTTCTTTGGATAATATTTATATAGATTGTTCATTTAGAGGGTCTTATGGCATCATAAAAATAAAATTGAGTCGGAAATAAACTATCCTGATACAAAGATTTATGTTATTGATATAATCTTTGATGAACTCGCTGATATGTACGTAGAATCAGCTTAACAATTTAGTTTTTCATAAGAATCATTTTATTAAAGTAAAAAATAGAAAAATATTAAACAATACCTTTATTTAAATTAAAATAAGTTCTTACGCATATTTCTTCATGAATTTTAGTAAGTACTTAAGTTTAGGCATTTCAATGTTGTGAATGCACCTGTTAAAGTCGCCAATCACTTTGACCGAGTGTGTCATCATTCTCGATATAATGTCCTTCAAACATACACTGAGGTCGGATACTTCTTTGAAGCCGTGTATTGCAATTTCAGCCATTACTACTGGGAAAGGCGATGTCTCGTAGAGAAACTGCAAAATACATTATGCATGGAAGATGTCGCTTTGTTTAGAGCATATATTTTATGAATCCTGTCAAAAAACACGAATAAATAATCTATGTAGGTGATTTTCCGTTTCATTTGATCATAATTAAAATGTCTCAAACTGTTCAATATATTATATAAATTTGAAACTTCATACAACGTGACTTCCTGGGTGTACAGTAGGTAAGATGTATCTGTTTGACAGATAAAGAAAAGAAAGTGTAATTAAAAAAAATATTTATGTACTCGAACATTTATTTACCGTGAATCGAACCTAGAACCGTCGAGAAATACGCCATGTGGTTAACACGCTTAGAGGAGGCGGTATATGTTATGATATATCTCTTATGACATAATTAATTATTTGAGAGGCACGTAAATCGTGAAGCCACCTATAAAATTAATTAAAACCCAGTAGATAAAGCTTCAGAAATAAATTCCATTTTTAACGACGTTAAAAAAAGGTTTTCGTCAGTTCATTAGGTGCGTGATCTTTTTGTACACATTTTTTTTTCAAAACCAAAACGTCATAATATCGAAATCATAAATCAATTCAAATGTTATAAAAAAGACCACTTTTTGACGTTTGGGTATCTATATTTCTCGCGGTATTTATTTTATTTGCCGATAAAATTTTTAAAAATTACTTATTACTTACCACAGTTCTCTCGAGGTCCTGACTTTCATGAGAGCAGTTACCACCAACCTGCTGTTGCTTTTGACATTCAAATAGTTTTGATGCAGAATATTTTTTTAGATTTTCCAAAGTTTCAAAATGAACTTGTAATTTCTCTGAAACAAAGTATAATAAATATCTATTTTAGAACAAATTACAATACGAAGACATTATTATAGTTCTATTGGATAGAAAAGCGCTGTTATCTCGATAACAGTTTAAGTTAAATAATTATATTCCACGTGCTTTGCAGCCGACACATTCATAGTTTAAAGAACAAGAAAATAATAAGAGTTTTCTATAGCTTAGCTCAAACATAACTGTTAATCACATCAATACAATAGCCGTACCAAACTTGTTAAATCTTTACAGAACACACTATTAACTTAATTACTCTTTATTATATATAAACAATGCTCTCAACTAATGCAATACTGGACCAATCTAATATTTATTACTTATTTTTTACTGCTCATCAAGTTGTTGCTCATCATATATGTTGGGTATGGTTGGATACAATAAGTTAGAGGTAAGAAGGGACCTTACTATCACATTGTACTTTTAAGATCCTTAGAGGTAATATATATAATGCGGAAATGTTGGTGAGACTGGGGGTGCCATATAATCACACTCAGCGTACAAAGTCACCTCGAGTGCGTGCAAATTTACTCAGAGAAGCGATTTTTACGCGTTTTTTGCGCACCCTAAATATTATTGCACGTGCGACGCATATATTTAATTGCACTGGCTGAATACACAAGAATTGCATTATTTATAATAAGTTATGAATAGCTTTAGGGTTTTTTGTGTTTTGTTTTGTTTATATTGTTTTTAGTTTTATTTTTAATTTACTCTCAAAATAGGAAATAAATAAATACATGTTTCTTAAACATAGGTATTTCAACCAATATGACATATAGCTGATAAATTCCTACTGTTGTCCTAATAATACGGTTTGTTATGATCACATCCTGTATTGCTCCAAACGGATATAGTCACATCTAGATAAACAAGGAAGACATACCAATAATAACTAGTGTGTGGGATTAAACATACCGGAAATAACAGTATACATTTATATGACTAATAACGGAGACTGGGTCCAATTCTCAGCGAAATGGATGGCACTTTGCTAATATGTCAATGAAAAACCCACTCGTACTCGTTATAAATATAATACTTTACGGGTGGACTTATTTATTAGTAATTATATAGACCCACCAACTAAATACACAATTACTAATCTCTATATAAAATTCTCCTGTCACAATGTTCGTTCCCATACTCCTCCGAAACAGACTCGACCGATTCTTATGAAATTTTTTATGCATATTCAGTAAGTGTAAGAATCGGCTACTTTCTATCTTTTCACCCCTAAGTGATAAAGGGTATCCACCCCAATTTATTTTTTATGATACAGCACACAAAAATACATACAACCCCTAATTTTCACCTCTCTACCATCAACCCCTATTTTTTATTACTGTAGATAGTTATTTTTATTGAACTAAAAAAATGTTTCCTAGAAATAATATACATAGCAAAATAAACGTTTGCTGGGTCAGGTACTAGAAATATTAATTTAACACATATTGGTGGACCAGTTAGGTGGACCTAACTTAAAGGTATCGTACCCACTTACACATTTATCGTTAATATGTTATAAGTTTCGGGTAAACTAAACATTATTAGAATAATTGACTAACCCAGGCTTCAAAAGTTTCATGGGAGTAAATTTGATTTTTAAATATTAACTTAGCGGTAGGGTATTTGTATGTGGAGACCGCTCATATTTTTTTTAAACACACAACAACGTTATGGTATTATTACAAAAATGATATAATTATTTATGACTGCATAATGTTACTATAAAACAAGTCTTTGTTTATGTGCAACCTTCGTACCTCAGATGAGACTTAAAATGCCATATTTTGTGATACTTCATACACAAATTCCTCATCTCGTTTGAAAGATATGTTATAGAGTATATAGTACAACTATGTCTACGCACACTCTAGATCGGTGTTTCCCAACGTGCACACGCCCCACAGGGGAGCAATTTGATTGTTAGGGGGGCTATTCGAAAATTTATTAAAATTATTTGGAATTTGAATTTCGGTTTTTCATTGTTTTGAAAATATTTTTTACTGTGTTTGTTTAACAATTTCCTAGTACATAATTTCTTCCCCGAACCTATAATTTAAGTGACTTAAATGAACAATAAATTTTTGTATTATTCAAAATTATGTATCTTACATACGAATTTTAGAAGGGCTAGGCTTTTTTGCGTAGAAGATCAGTCTTAATAGAATTTGCTACTAGTCGTTGGACAACTCGACAGCAAACTAGTTTCACCAACATTATATTATAATATATAAGTTTCTTTATTAGTGTGTGCTTTAATAAACTTACCCGGCAACCGTTGTACTCTCTGATAGCCCAGAGCCAAGCAGAGCGTGACATTCTCATCAGCGAGCTGCAGATTTTCGCCTAGTAGTTTTACGATGCTCTCCTTGCAATAAGTGCCGTTGCGAGGTTTACGATCGTGAATTATTACCTGGCAAGTTTTTAAAGCGTTGTACTTTAGCGAGAACTTTATAACATCCAATTTAGTTTAATATATTACACTTTATATACATTCGTTACGAAATGAAAAGATTTTATAAGAATTTAACTAGATATTTTTCGATTTTATCATTTTATAATTGCAAAAATTACAAAAGCAAAAGGCACACAATCCGATTAAGATGTTCCTGTCCGGTTATAAAAACTTATACTAAATTTTGACGCTTAAAGAAAGCAATGACGTCAAACTGAAAACAATTAACAAATAATAAAATGTACGAAAAAGTATTTGAGACTAATAAACTACGCCGTTAACAATTTCTAAGCGAGTAATGATCCGTGACCTGTTTTCCGTCGCATATTTTCCACTTTACAAAGTAATTAAATGTAATTTGAAATGTTGACCTAATTATAGGTGTGCTACAGTTTCTACAATGAGAATGTACCACGACTTATGAATGTTGACGTTACTAGTTTTCAAATAGTAAAAAATCCGAATCGAAGATTGATTTATTAAATTTATTAGCATTTATACAAAGTCAAAGTCAAAAATCATTTATTCATATAGGTAACACGATGTACACATATGAACGTCAAAAAAAAAATGTAATGCTTCTAATTTTACATTTACCATTTGCCAGTTCTCAAATCAAGGTCGTAGAATGGAAGAGAAGATCTGGCAATAAACTCTCCGCCACTCTTTTTAATCGCCAAGTTTTTTGTTTAACACAACGTTTGTAAGGAGCTGCAGCCATTACACCATGTTCCACTTGAAATGTTAAGTAATAAATAACAATAAATTCATTAAAAAAAGATTTGTCCTCTATCAGCAGGAGGCATGGTGAAATAGGAGCACGCACTTACATTCTCGTGGGAACAACACGCAAATACATCATCGAAATAACTCAACATCACCGCATACACGAATTCAAGTACGACCAGTCACCACAAGTAGACCCGTTCACAGGGGGGGGGGGGGGAGGCAAACAGCCCCCTTCCTTCCTTAGTAACACAAAAGTGGGCGTGTTTTTAAATCTATTTTTTATATCACAGCGAATCAATTGATTGAATTTGATAAAGATTGGAGTTGAACTGTGTGCCTAAATTTAATTAATTAACAATTATATTTCTCAATGTGTGTTCCACTTCAAACTTAATGGTAGGTTCACACGCGCGCGTTCAACTCTACATTCAACGTGCACATTCACATTCACGAGCGTGTAAACGGTACGCCCGAGCCCGTGAACGTGCCTGTGAACGTGAATGCCGCGAATCGGGCATACTGACTGACAGACGGCGTGCGTGTGAACACTTGAATGTCCGCCGGCCGGGCGGGACGGGCTGCATGCCGCGCAGCCCGCCAGGCAGCCCGCCGGGCGGCACGGCGCGCGTGTGACCATAGCATTACATATTCTATTACCTTTAGTTATACGAGTATAATCATGCGCCATAATAGTGTAAGATAAATTAAACTTACTTGAAAATAGAGGGATATCTGTTCAAGGTAGACTGTCATATAATTTATCGCCTTATCTGCTTCGTTCTTCATGAGAAGCTTTAATTTGTGAGACCATAGTGTCCATGTCTTCACGAGATTTCTGTGTTCTTATTTGTATATCTGCTATTAGATTTCGATAACCATTTATAAGGTTTTCCTGGAAGTCTGTTGTCTGAAAATATTATTTTTACCATAAATAAAAACGTGTGTGTACTTATATACACGCGTTAGAAGTTATACATACTTATTTGGCGTAACAGGATCTTTTCAAAAAAATTATTATTACGTTTGTAGAAAAAACTACACTAATAATAGAAAATCTAAAATGTTGACTATAGCTAACTTCAGGGTTTTTTGTGACGGTGTGCGCACGCATCGTAAAAATTTACTCTCATCATTTTTCCCTATCGTGCCAAAAGAAGTATAACTTCAAAAATGTTTTAAAATTTATTTCTGAACCACTCCGTCTTTGTGTGAGATGAGATTTATTCGATGTTTGGTCCCTCATATATCCAAGTACTGTCCAGATTTTTCTTGTTTTATGGTCCTAGGTCTACCCTAGTACTATTTTTTATGTAAGCTATATAAAGACGAGGTATATTATACTCGCCATCTTTAGCTTTAAAATAATAACCTCTTAGGACCTAGGGAAAAATAATATAAGTAGCATCAATGTATAAATCCATTGTATATATTATTATAACAACATTATTCCATTAGAAGTACACACAAAACATCGTTCCTTAACGACCAAACACAAAACAACCGCGCGTAAAAGAACAATAAATAGAATATAAAATTTACGATGCGTCAGTTACGAAACAAGGCTATATGTGAACTTATCAAAAAAGCCAAAATCGATAAGAAAATTCTCCTTTAACGTATTGTCTAAGCTCTCATACTAATCAATGTATTTACAAATATTAAATGACTCTTAATAGATTAGTAATAACTATTAAGAATTCTTAATTTGAAAAAAATATTTATTAGTCGAAACGTGTTTATGCCAAACTTAAAAGTTTTAGGGAGATACACAAAACAAGTTTAATTGCGCAGTTTTGAATATAAGTATAAACTATATATGTATAAATATTGTAATCATTTTATTTATAAAAATTAGTTTGTTTGCCGTAAGGTATATATATTTTTGAATAGATTCCAATTATTGTAGATTTTCGATAACATTTGGACCCATACTATGTTATAGAAATTATTAGGTGAGATGAGAGTGACCCAAGAACTTTAGACGAATCCTTTGCCAAGAAAATACATACAGCAATTAGTTTATCATTTGTGTTTGTTCTAGTACATAGTTTATTTGCCCTAAGATAAATATTTGTGTCTATCCTAACCGGTCTTACTGTAAAAATATGCACAAATAGGTTTGAATGAAACTGACCTGAATCGAAAACACGACGAATAATACTGCGAGGATAAAAAATGTTTCACGACTCATCTTTTTTATCTCATCTCTTTACACATTATTTTTTTATTAATAAAAACCACTCCTGCCACCTCATTAATGACCGAACGACTGAATGTTTCTTTGTGCGTTATTGTTTTCATTTCGACCTGTGATTGATACCAATTGTTTTGATTTGAGTTTGTATACATTGCACATATTATACTGTATACTATGCGTCAATTTGGTTAAATTCTCAGCATTAATTTTACACTGTAATTTCATTGGACGGCGAAGGAGATTAAGAATTTTGCCTACCACTTTGACTAGAAATTTTTGAAGCACTTCTTGCCCTGCACCAACACTATGTACGTCGAGATATACCTGAATACAACCTGGGTCTCTCAAGAAAACACCATAAGAACTACTTAATACAAACAATGCAAATAGATTCCTGGCATTTCTAGAGTGAGAGTCAGAAAAGAGACTAAGCATGAAGGATAAGATATGACTTCCGAATGTCAAAATACAATACGTTTTTGACCTACGGGAGTGACACTTAGCGCTTCTGAATCTTACCCATGAGCATAATTTTTCCAGCATTCATAAACGCCATAAGTTTCACTGTCCATCTCAGCTCCATTTTCTATTAATACATTAATTTACCTAAAAACAAAGACAGATTAAGTTATTCTGTAAAATAAATGAAACCTCCTACTTGAGAGATTAGTCACGTGACAATCATATACAGCCTGATCCTACCTTGTCTCGCATTGTGTATCCATCTTCTGTCTCTGCTTCTCTTCTTTTAAAAATGATTTTAATCTCTGTCTTATCTTGCTGCACCTTATAAAGTTTTAGTCTTAGATCTATGAAAAGCGTTAAAATGAATGAAACCGATAAAGGTGTCAATAGTTATAACAATAAGCATAAGTCATTCACTCTTTTTTGTGATTCACAAATTCGCCAACGAAAACAAAACCTCGAAAATGTAACTAAACAAGGGTATCAGGGAATAATGTATTTTCTTGACAGATGCTATTCTAGATATCTTTGCAGAGGACGGTGTGTACGTGTGAACATAATATTTATGAGAGAATATAAATTTTACCGCAATCCAGGTCGTACGAATTTATCGCTCTGAACATATTTTTATATACCGAAGCGGGAACATTATGTAATAAAATCATTTACTGTTATTCAAATTAAATATTCAATTATTAAAATTATAATCGTTTTAAATAATTGAAATATGGATTATTTCTAAATATCATATGGCATTTATGCATGCTTGAAAAAATCGCCCTTTTTATTAATTCGTTTTAAGCGCCATCTGGTTTTATAATATGGTATTACATCAGATTTTAGATTTTAGATTAGGCGTTCATAGTATCTTCGTTCAAAGGTGATCCATAACATCAAAAGATGGAGATAATATGTTCTACTCTGAAAATAACAACCAAATCAAATATTATATGTTTCAAATTTCATTTAATCTTTCAATGCAACAAAATTTCGGAATGATTAGAAAATAATTAAACGTATATATATGAGAAAGTTATAATTTATTAAGAATTTAAAGTCGATTAAAATGTTTTTTTTTATAACTAACTAAACTGTATAAGTTTTGAACAACTATGCAATAACAATAGAGCCTTTTTTCATATCCTTAAGTTCCATTTCAAATGTTGTTAGTGTTACTTATTGCTAAATATTAGTATAAATATGTTAGTCGCCTGTGGATATGGATCCCACTTGGGTGAAGACCTCCTCCAACCCTTTCCAGATGTCTGTATCTTTGCCAATAGTCTGCCAGTCTTTTTCTCCTATTTCTATCAAGTCATCAGCCTGCCCACTCATTTTTTCCTGAGTGATCCCTTTCATTGTGCTGACTTTAATATCCATCTGTTGTCTAGGTGTCATAACCAGCCTAATGGCGTTTTAGTTTCAAAGCTTATATAGGGCATCGATTGCTTTAGTTTTTTGTCTAATATAATCACTTTTGACTTTGTGTATCTTATACTACATAATATACAATAATCAGTATCTTTTCCCTTCTTGAAATATACTATAAGGCTTTTACAAGGGCGTAGTCTTGGTCTTAGACTAACCAGTTTTGTCAGTCACGTATGACTCAGAATTAGAGGAGGCCGAGAACTTTTTAAAATAAAAATTATGAACATAGTTAAAACTCAACGGAATCATGTTTATGAGAAAAGTTTAAATATTAATACTCTAGCAAGTTATTACTTTAAAAGTATTTTAATTACGCGAAAGCCACATTTTAAATATATTAAGACCGGAAAATTTATATAACTTTGGTTAAAGTATTAACTCTAATTAAGTGTGTTAGGATTTTAAGTGAAATATGTGGATAGAAGCTTAGAAATAGTTTAGTTTCACTGGCAAATATCGGCATATTTTTTTTAAATATAGATTTCCCAATAACCCCGACTGTTGTGGTGCGGGACCTTATTTTATACATATATTTTGTACAAACATATATTAATTTTTTCATTAATAAATTTTCTAATATATAAAAATATATATTACTACATATTTCTATTTCATATTCATGGGCTAGTTGGGCCCCGTCGTCTCTGAATGTTTATCGGCATATTTGAAAAAAAAAAAACAATTAGATAAATCACAAAGTTTCCGTTGCTGTGAAAATAAAACAACTGTAGTTTTCAGAAAACCTAGAACCAAATTGAATTGTTTCAGCGTGCTCATAAAATTTTACAGTTGAAATGAACCAAACTGTAGGCTTTTTGTTACAATTTGCCTTCGTAATAAAATGGGGTCTTTTAAACCCAATGGTGCAGAAAATGCTGAGTTAGCTACATTCGAATGAGGTTGGAAATTTATAATGAGATGCATTCAATGTAATAAAGATATGTTCCACTTAGTGTGCAAGTGTTTGCAAAATTTAATATTCTAGATAGCGTATACGTGCCCGCGATATTTAATTTAGATTCAAAGCATTTTAAAAAGAACTTCAAAGGCTATGTAGTCACGTGATATAGTTACTTCAAGTTAATTTTAACAATTAAGGTGAAAACCCAAAAACAAAAAAAAAAAGTAAAACCGTTTTTCCAGTTTAAGTATAATATAAATATACACTTTAATACTAAAAATATAAAAACAAAAAGTCACCTCATTTATTATCATTCGTTTGGATTTTTGTACTACTGTGATTTAACGCCTTAATGATAGTTGATAAACCACGTGGTTTTAATATCTCAGTACAATGCTGATCATAAAACAGTCGCTGAAATCGTCTTTTGTTTCAAGCAACAACTTATAATCTTAGTTTATCTTGATTTTAACAAATTCGGTCGGTATATATAATTATATAATACTAGCTGACCTGGCAAACGTGTTCGTTTTGGCTGTCATTTATAATTGAAATAAAAATAGGGGTTGATCGTAGAGGGGTGAAAATTAGGTTTGTGTATGTATTTTTAATGCTGTGTTGCATAAAAAAAAACCTAAAAACAGAAAAAAAATATCTAAAAATAAAAAAAATATATTAGGGGTGGACTACCCTTACTTCTTTGGGGGATGAAAAATAGATGTTGTCCGATTCTCAGACATACCCAATTGCACAACAAAATTTCATGAGAATAAATTTATCTTAGTCAATTTC